CCGAAACTGTGCCTATCGTCTAATTTTCACTCCGGCGATTTTAGTAGTTTTTGACACTACCGTTATGTAGGGCGTGAGCGAGGATATCATCCATTTTTACACTTTCGGCTGGACTTCTCATAGTTTGCGCTAGTTAATTTTGGTTATTATAGCTTTAGAGGTTTAGGAGATATGTAGTCATGCGTCAATTTGATCTTGTAAGGATGTAGCGCAAGATCTTTTCGCAAAGCTTGAGAACGACGTGTGAGAGAATGATTTGGATCTTCCTCAGTTGTTGCACTAGTGGCAAAAATATTCCCGAACTACGAGCACTTCTTTATCTCACTGGCACGGGAACATTTTGTATCATGCCTGCGGATTAAATTTTTTCCTCTAGACGCTCAATTGTTGATCTGGCAGACCGATTGTGACGACTATAAATTGGACATAGCTCTCATAAAGACTGCTAACTCCAAATTTCGGCAGTAAATTTTAATAATTTCGCCTCGTCATTGGATCGTTTGTCTTTTCATGATGAAAGGGCAAACCTTACTGAAGAGAAAAATTTAAAAAGAGCGMAAAAATATGGCGTCGTATGCTGTCCCTATCGGTCTACTTTTGAATCGTCCCTATTGAAAACCTATTATATATCGATTAGTTTTAATATGCAGACTGAGTARTCGTTTGCGTTTCACAGTCAATRCRTAATTTCTATAAAATTTTATTATGATATATGGCAACGTTATGGACTGCATATGTTTCACAAATTGTATCCTATTTTTATGGAATGTTGAAATATTTAAATTATATCATGCAGTACATAAATTTGCGAGGAAAGTTATATCGAAAATGGATGAAAAGAACAAAAGAACCCCGAATTTCACCGTTAGCGACCTATTAGAACTGGTGGAAATTCCAATTCGATTTCACAAAAAATAATTTCTTATTTCTTGTTATTCTTCTTTTGATAAATAACTGAAAATGCAAAACAATTSAAAACAAAAATCAGCTGTTACTTAAGCACTGCTTAAGTCTCCCATTTACAGTACTTAAGTATGAACTGTGAAACACTATTTTCTGTTTTAYCTTAAGCACAACTTAAGTATGCGGGGCATTAGTGATCACACGAGTTTATTAAAATAAACTTAACGTTCAGCACATATGGATCAAATGGACCTCACCGTGACATTTTGATTATGATCCGACGATCCGATTAAAGATGTAACTTCTGAAAAGTTCACTTGTATCCCCTGATAGACAAATGGAAATACCACAAAGGTTAAAACTTACCTTGAGAAACAATTCTTTATCCATTTGTTAGCTATCASATATTCATCAGTCAAGTATTGCTTTTTGGTAAGGCTGAGCTCAGGCTACTACCGGGGTCACAGCTGGCGGATAGTGGACGGCCTGCGCTAAGTATGTTAGCTGCGAATAGTATTACGTAGCCCCCGACCAAGAGCTGCAGGAGAGGAGAGCTTGGTTCAAAACGCCTAATACGCCCAATGAACCTCCGGCGAAGAGGCGAGAAGATGCCGCCTTTAAACAATCGTCAGCAACCCCCACCGGGGTTGCACCGAGGGAGAACCTACATACGAGAGGGAGGCAACAAAGCGACGACAACCATACAGTGAGCTACTGGAAACAAATAATGGACTAGTTCGACAAAGTACTCGTGAGGGCAGTATTCTATAACCTCAGTAGGTAAGAGTGACATCTTACCGAAATGGTTGGCAGGCTAATGCTGCTCTCACCTCCGTCTCGTTAAAACCCTGGCAGGTCTTCAAGTATGTTCAATGCATGTCGCCAAACCTTCTTGGCCGTACAGGCTCCGTTGAGACGACCTCCTGATTCGTGCCTGAACCTGGCTCTGAACACAAGCTCCCATAAGGGACTTGTGTCAACCCTTGGGTGGCCTCCCTGCCTGCATAAATAACCACGGGGTTCATATAGGGCAACTGTTACAACGTGCAAAGATAGCAGCTTGAAGCGGAGACCCAATGGATCTAAAATGAACACAACAAAACAACAACAACAATAACCCCAACAGAAGGAACAAGATAAAGAACAACAAAACAAAGATGTACAAGACGAGAAATACGGGACCGTGTTCCGCAGAAGTAGTAGGATACTTAGATCCCCCACACTGACCAAAATTCAAAACAACTAGAAAAAACTGGAGAAAAGACAGCCTCGAAGGAAACTCCTGCCCCACAAGAACCACCAGCAAAGCAAGCAGAAGAGAAGAGCACTCCAGTGGCCACCACTGAAGGAACTCAAAACTTGCCGAAA